ACTCAAACCCATCTTCAATTCATGTGTGTAAAATCTAAAGCATATAATTTAAAGCCTTATCCAAGAGTCCATAAGTTGACAACAAACCACAAATTGAAAAGAACCCTAATTATCAAATTTGTGTACCTCTAATTCACCTCCTTTTCATACAAAAATAATTGTGAAAAACCAAATCTAATAGACTGTGTATAAGAGATGCAAATCATTAGGATTAATGTTCTTTAAAATTATTACTTCACCTCAGAACTTGATTAGGAGAAAAGAAAAAATAAGTATTCTTTCACCTTTAGCTATTAACAATAAATTTAGTTCTAATCATAAGAAAAACAGTTTCCATCTAAATATGTTAGATTTTCCCTACAACATTAATGGAGGCATCTCTTTCAAAAATACCTTCTTACCTAATGTGTCTTTGTGATGGGAAAGTACAAGGATTCATGCCTTAAACTTCCATTACTGTGTCAGTTTAAATAAGTTTAAAAAGAATAGGCCTTCTTATTTTAAATCAAATTGTAGCTTTTCCAGAGAAATTACATACTAACCCAAAACAAAGCCAAAATCCATGCTTATCCAGGCTAAGGCAAAAGTAAGGGATTCATGAATAGGAAAAAAAAAATCTATTTCTGAGTTTTCTTTTTTCTAGCATGACTGTGCTACCCTTCCCTCATCCTTTTCCCAAGTTCTTTATATGCAAAGAAAACTCACTGCCTAAGTCAAACTTTCAAACACTGTCTTAAGTAAGCCTCTAGATCAAAATGGTATCTCTATGTGTACTACTCATCCATAAAGCCAACTTCAGCAAAACCTCTCTAAAGGCACATGTGCACAAGAAGATCAACTACAAGGCTAGGCATGGTAGCACATGCCTGTAATCCCAATGGCTCAGGAGGCTGAGGCAGGAGAATCATAATTATGAAACCGGCCTCAGCAATTTAGCAAGCCCTAAACAACTTAGCAAGACTCTGTCTCAAAATAAAAAATAAAGAGGGCTGGGGATGTGGCTCAGTAGTTAAGCACCCCTGGGTTCAATCTCTGGTACCAAAAAAAAAAAATCTACTATGATAATTTCTTCTGGTTTCACTCCCACAATATTTTATATAGAAATATTGCTTCATTTCAGAATGTTCTTAACAACCTATCATGTATAATAATGGAACTCATCAATTTCTAAGTCCTATACCCCAAAACCTATGAATATGATCCTTACCATACTTGGCAAAAAAGATTTTACAGATGTGACTAAAGACCTTGAGATATAGAGCATTATTAATTGGACAAAAAAGAAGTCACAAGCATCCTTAAAAGGAAAAGTGGGTGCAGGGGATATAACTCAGTGGTAGAGCACCTGTGTCTCATGCTCAAAACCTTGGGTTTATCCCCAAAGACTAAACAAAAAAAAAAGAGAGGCAGGACAGGTGGTCAGAAGGGCTTAACCTTAACATCCTTGTTGGCTTTGAAGATAAAGGGAGCCACAAACAAGAAGTGTGGGCGGCTGGAAAAGACAAGGGAACAAATTTTTTCAGACTTCTGACCTACAGAACTGTTAAGAAAACAAGTTTAGTTTTTTTTTTTAAGTCTTCAGCTTTGTGGTAATTTGTTACAGTAGTAAGAAAATCAATACACTAAAACTATTTCTCAGCTCAAACTATTTAAAAATCTATGAAATACAACCACTATTAAACTAACCTGTAAAGTACTTGTTATAGTGTTGACCTTCTCGGTGACTGTAGGATTACTTCGAGTTTCCCTATGAGTTGATCTGGTAGCCCATTGACTCAATCGGTCATGAAAGCGGAAGCGTTCGGAATCACTGGATGATTCTGCCATTGATGTACACAAATGCTAAAAAACAAATCCAAGTCAAGGTCAAACAGTAAAACACAGGAAAATATGAGATTAATGTAATGATTCACTTTTTAATATTTTTAGGTCTTTATTACATTAACCCTCTGACATATTATAATTTCTACACAAATAGTTTGAAAATACAAGTCACTTCCCCACATAATTGTCCCTCCTATTTACGGTGCTTTAAGAGAACAATGACTGAATGGGATTTTAGTAATGTTTACCACTCTGAATAATAATTCCTTAGATATGTGCAGTGCTTCCAAATTTTATGAAATACAGAGCTATTCTCTGAAACTAGGACCTGCAATTGTCTTAATATTAGACTTCTGTTTATAGCTTACTATGTGAACATGTCTCTTTAAACATAAAAATATTACAAGATGCATAGCCTGTCCTACAATAAAAGAATCCCATTCAGTGTACAACAAAAATTGTACACCTTAATTTGAAATACAGCATAAATGACATAAAAGAGATACAAATTTTATAATAATGAATACATAAGAAGATAGCATCTTCAACATCTCCACCAAAAGAGAAAGTGAAACAGTCACAGAAAAATTTCATCAATAGAAAAATTCTTTAAACATGCCTTTTCTCTTTACTTCTATTATCTACTTAATGCATAAGAAAATTATTTCATTCAAGAAAATCTCAAATCTCAGAAAACCTTATAATAGAAGTTGGAGAAAATAAATACATTTAAAACAAAGAAGCAGTGGAGAAAACTCAATTGATCAAAAGTGAAATTTCATTGAACATTCCAATAATTTCATTTTCTGCTTAGTGGAAAGTTAACTCAATCTTTATTTTAACATTAATTGTTACAATCTTCCTAATATCTATATGGTCATTTTTTTCTGGCTTATTAAGTACAGTATGATAAAACTTTTCTTTAATGACAGAATATTCTGGACTTTTTGGATCTTTATTCTGAATGTATCTTGGAAGTACATGACATATACCTAAAGAGAAGATAGGGAAAATATGCTACATATGTATAGATTCTAGAATATTTAATGAAAGCAATATGATTTTAAAGATATTAAATAAAATTATATTAAAAAAACAAGCAAGAACTCTTGCTATGAGTTTAGGTTTTTCAAAATCTAATCAGAATCAATGGAATACAACTTCTTTGTATAGTTAAGACATTAGTTTTTGCAATCAAAAACTCATGCTTTGGGCTGGGGATGTGGCTCAAGTGGTAACGCGCTCGCCTGGCATGTGCAGGGCACTGGGTTGGATCCTCAGCACCACATAAAAATAAAATAAAGATGTGTGTCCACTGAAAACTAAAAAATAAATATTAAAAAATTCTCTCTCTCTCTCTCTCTCTAAAAAAAAAAAAAAAAAAAAAACCTCATGTTTCTCCTCTGCCCAAGGCCTTTCAACTTTCAACTTTCTTCTACAACTATTTCCTCTGGTTCTTGTTTCCCTCCTATGTATAAATATAAAGGCATGGTGCTCACAATGTTGCTCTCTCCCATTAAAAAAAAAAAATCTAAGGCTGAAGCTTGGCTTTCCTTTTCCCAGCTTATACTAAAATTTAATAGAAAAAGAAATCTTAAATGTAAAGTTTAATCTTAAATATAAAGTTTGTCTTTAAAATGTAGAAAATAACTTCTGAGTATATCTTATGGATCTCTGCTACATAATCTTTTATTCTAAGTCCTTTCCAACATTTTCCATTAGTGAAAGGAGAAAGAACCAACATTTCTGAGCCCCTGCTATGTGGATGCAGGTAATATGTGGATGCCTATATAGAAAACCAATTTTTAATTCTCATAACAACTTTATAAAGTGAACACTATTAGCCCTAACTTATACAGGATGCTGAGGCCAAGAGATATTGAGTAACATGTCCAACTCCATACAGTAATATGTAGCAGACCCAAGACTCGGCCAGCCTTCTCTATCTTCAATAACGTGTTCATCCCACTATATTCTGCTATCTGTTATGTACCAAGAGTGAACAATCCTAATGGTTAACTAAACTTGATGAAGAAAATAACAGGCCACAGTTTATAAGTGTCTGTAGTCCCCTCAGTTCCCTCTTATTTCATATCAAGATAAGTAAGGAAATATCAAGTACCAATATGAAATCTTAACAAGACACCAAGAAAAAAAAACTAAGTGGTATATCTATGCTATATTTAATAAAGAGTACTAAAAACAAATCAAACCACTGGCCTTATAGCAAGGGGTTTACATTTCCTGATTCTATCTCATACATAAGAGAATAATTATGCCTGGGATCAATCGAAATAATAAAATTTACAGCACAATAATTTTTATTTTAAAAAAGTTGTAATTTGGAAAACTAAACTGAAGAAATCATCAAGCAGAACAGAAAGGTGATACTTAATAAAAACAATGTGTTTACTATAATGGTTGTTGGTTAAAAACAAGCAACAAAATAAACATCCTTGGCGACACTTGATTTTTCTAAGAGCACCAAAATTTGAATAATAATCATTTCTCTGAAGAAAACTTCACTGAATATAAATGGTCTATCAGACTCTTCCAATGAGTAGACAATTTTTAGTTTTAACTTGACTAAAAATAGTTAAAAGTGAAATTGTTATGGTTCCTTATAATATGGACAAATGTCAAAAAAGTACAATACTAATATAATAAGAAAATATATACATTACTACCTATAATTAATTAACATTAATGATAAATATCATTCTGACATGCATGCTTCTAATTTTGTAAAAGAAAATGTTTACAACATTATAAATAAAGCCTTAGTACACTTCTACTCACTATTATTCTCATCCCACCTCCCCAGGGAAAACCACTAATATGATTTCATGTACATCCCTCATGCCACATTTTATATTTTTACCACAGGCATAGACACCTCAAAGTTTTTATGATGGAACACATATTATAATCAATAGATGACTATCTAACAAGTGAAGATATGGAGCACCTAAAATTAACTCTAAAACAGATGATTTATTTAAAAGCATTAAATATTTTTTTTATTTATAAAAAATTTTTGAGACAATATTTATTGTCTCTAAATGTCACATAACACAGGGTAAAAAGTTCTCTAACTTACCCCAACTTGGATTACATACTTTTAACAAGATAGAATCACACTTTTCAGCATAAGTTTTACTGGCAAACACACACAAAGTCTTCCGCTATTAATTTCAATCACTTTGAGCCATAAAAGATGTTCAAACTCCTGCATCTGATGGAACTCCTGCAGAGATATCAAGAATTAAAGTGAGATACATCTAAGAAATTTACATGGCTTTTTTTTAAGCAACCACGTAAGGATTTTAAATGATGTAAGTTTCATGAATGTTAAACTAAGGAAAATTAAAGAATATATAATAATAAAAACAGATTATTTTCATGATTGATAAAAATTTGGTATTTTCTTCAACTATTACTAACAATGCAAAAGGTCAAATGCACTCCTATAGCTAACTCAAGTGGACACCTACCCTCAGCGCCACAACGCAGAAAGCAACAGTGTCAATTATATCCCTACCAAAAGATGCCAATCCATCATCAGCCAACAACATGACTGTCGATAGCTGTTGTACATTGTGTAAATGGAGACAGAGAAAAATAAATGAGAGTAGAGTAGCCACTGAGGTTGACAAGAGGTTCACACCAAATGATCAAAACCAAGGAAGACCATGAAAATAATTCCTGGGAACCCCTTAATATAACTAACTCAAAAAGAAAAGCACAAAGCAGTAATGTTTATACACTCTTCATTCATCATTAACAATGTATTATTTATACTACAAATTAAAATATGGTACAGTCTAATATCATAGGCAATAAAGACAGCTGACCTCATAAAACTTACTACCAGTAAAACCGTACCTAATGTATTAGACTCATTCAATTTTCATCAACAAAAGCATACTGAGAGTGGTCACATCAGAAAACAAGTGTAACTATGAAAAAACCTTGACCTAATAAGAAATGTAAATTAAACAATGGCATCACTTTCTAACCTATTATTTTCTTTTAAATAATAATATCTATGGACAGTGAGGTTACAGGGAAAGAGCACTCTTGTCTAAGATTATCTCAATTGATATAATGCCTGAATATCAGCAAGCAACTACCTATCAAGATAATTACCATTGATCTAGTAATAATACTTCTAAAAACTTCTCATAAAAAAATCATCTGCAATACATACAAAAATTTATATATAATGATATTTACCCGAAGTTGTACTAAAGGGACAATAAAAATAACTTAAAATTTCAAAATACAAGAGAATGATTAAAAATACAGAGCATCCATATATTTTAAGAGTATAATGATCTTAAAATACCTTATCCTGTTTCTAGAGAATATTTAATGGCAAAACAAGGAATAAAAGTATGAATTTCAGTTTTATAACAAACACTATGTTATCTGGATGCATATTAATTACCCTTATATAAATTTAGAGGCACAGGAAAGGGCAGGAATAAAAGAGAGGAAAATATACCAAAAGTATATTAACCATCCAGTGTGTACAGCTAATTTCTATTGTTTTAAACATTCCTGTCCTTCATGAATTTCTATTGTTTTAAACATTCCTGTCTTTCATGAACTTGTATTATTATTGTATAATCAGGAGGGAAAATATGTTATTTAAAAGAAAGAAAAACAAGTATAAAGATCACCTTCAAAGATCACAGGTTAAAGGGATGGGGTTGTGGCTCAGTGGTAGAGCGCTTGCCTAGCATGTGTGAAGCAAGTGTGATTCTCAGCACCACATATACATAAATGAATAAAGATCCATCAACATCTTTAATTTTTTTTAAAAAAAGATTGTAGGTTAATAGGCTAACAGCAGATTAACAAACTGGCAACCCAAATAATCAGTTAAAATTAAAGTTCAATATTCAGAACTCCCTTTTCCTTGGAACATATTTCATTTTCCTCCCTGGTAACTTCTTGCCCTTATATTCTAGTCTTCTGACATCTATTGTGGTAGGGCCATGTCTCTAGTTCTCACTAACTAATTTGACAAAATGGGATCACAATGCCAGTCTCCACAGTTCATACTAAAGGGCACTGACTAGCTACAGAAACCATTTATCATGAGTTTATAAGCTAATTTATAAGCTAACTTTTCTTCAAGTTGTGTACTATTCTCTCTTTGTACTTATGCTAAAAGACAGTTACTAGATTAAAAAGCTGACTCAAAGAAAAATTCTAAAGGCCAGAAAGAACTTAAAAATTGAAGGACTATGTGAAAATATATTAATACAAACTAATATTGCTTATGCAATCAAATTTTACTTTGAAAACCAAAAATGGTTCATGAGTGACATATAATCAATATTGTAATTTGAAGCCCAAAGAGTTATTAAGTATAAAAGCATCTGTATATACTCAAGGAAATTTTTAATCATTATTTTTAAAAGTTTAAAAGAAAAAGTCCAAATTGAGTGAGAATGAATTTCTCACTCAATTTGAACTTTAAACATTCCTTATGATAGAAATGAATGAATTAATAAATATGAAGAATGATTGTGCTCTTGAAGAAAAATTTAACTAAAGTGAATTTTCCAAATTCTGGTTTTAGGTGAAAAAAGTCTGTCCTTCAATTAAAGAAGGCAGTAATTGATAAAACAAACCTTGTCACTGACAAGAAAACAACATTTGTGCTACCTGTTTTTTAGACCTTTCCAGAGACTAAAGAGGACTAAGATGTGTGACCTTGGGTAAAAGTCTCTAAAATCTTAGAGAAAGCTCAGGATCTGGAGAGCAGATAGTTGAATTCTTAGAACAGTTATTTAGTTGCTCCCAACACATCAATATTTAAAGATATAAATATTGTTGTTTCTGCCTTAATGAAGCTTACAAAGAAGACATACAGCCACCAAAGCAAGTAGCAAACCCCCATCAATTCACTCCTACTGAGAATCTAAGACAAATGCCCACATGCAAACCTGAACACAGTGACCAGAGAGAGTAAAACCTTGTAATAAGAGGATTGGAAGAAAGCCTTTATAAACTCAAGTCCACCTCTTTTGTTATTTGACCTAAAAGAGCCATCAGATTGTCTTCACTACAATGATGCACATTTGTATGTATGAGAGCTATAATTTATTGATTCTCAAATCTCTTTTCCTCAGAGTCAGTTTAAAACAATTAGGATTTGCAAGCTGTTCCATAAAAGATAAGCACCCAACATCAGGGATGATATTTCACAAAGACTGACTAGTGCATGTTAAGTAGGTGATTGCTTCTATAGCCTCCATTGTGCCTCAGCAGTCCCTATCTATGGCAACTGTCCTCAAAGAAGATATTCAAGGTAATGATGATGATATTTAGAAGGGAAATGGGAAGTATATTTTAAGACTAATCATAAAATAAATTCAAATTTTAGAATGTTTTTCACAATGATTCAATAGCCAAAGGATTTGAGAGCTCTGCCTCAAACCCTTTCCATATAAAAATAAAATTCAAGTAAGATTAAAATCAACTGTCCAGTCCATCAGCCTGTTATAAACTATTACTACATTAGAAATTACAGATCAAAGTAAACAAGTAAGTCACATTTTAATGGGAGGAATAAAAAGTATGAGAGTTATTTCATATGGTGAGCTAAGAAATAAGACAAATTCTAGAGGAGTCAGGTCAGGATCCTTCCACCCATCTTGAAAGATGAGTACAAGTTTGATAGATGGTTAAGATCAAGTAATAGAGTCCAGTTAAAGACTGTCTTAGAGAAACTAGAGATGGCCCAAATATGTACAGCTCTTTTACCTTTCCCATGAGCTTTGCTACCTTCATGTGATTTTTGTACCATGGCTTGCTATGTATGGGTACGCTTTTAAAAGAATTCTCTTGTGAAAAGAAAAGAAAAACATTTGAAAGCTACTACTATAAAGGGGGAGAAAACAATCTTGAGCAGGAAGTGACATGGTAAAAAGGACATCCTACAGAGCTGAGTTTAGACACCATCGCAACCCATTAAGTGCACATATAAGCCAATGGCAGTAGAGACAAAGAGTGGCAGAGATGAACTAAATATGAGACAAAGAATAAAAGATGAAATACAGATGTCTGATCCTGGTAGCTGGATGGATTATGGACTACTAAAATGAGTAAGTAAGAGAAAATTATTGTAGGGAAACATAAATAGAACTTTTCCAAGTTTCAGGTAGGAAGGAAGAGTCAATTTGTATATCATGGAAGGAATTCAAGTAAAGATGTCTAACATGCACCTGGATATGTGGTATTAAGGAAATGCTGGGAGATGACAGAATGAGAATGGATGAGACCAGAAGAAAAAAAAAATATAGTAAAAAGAACAGCAAGGGAAAATCCCTGAAGAACCCCAACATACAAAAGGCAGAAAGAAGGAGCTAGCAAGCGAGACTCAACCATGAAAACTAAGTAGGAAATCAGGTGAAATGGTATAACAAAAGTTGTGGAAAGGAGGGTTTGAAGAAAGTGAGAAAAGAACTCGTAAAAATTTTGCCAGCTAATTCACTGTCTCTCAACTCCAAACGTACTCTCCATTCTGTTCCTTGTAAACAGAAACTTTAAACACTTCTCCTTTTTAGTTGGTGTAACAGTAAGTTTTGCCATAGAGGATACTAGAAGGACACGACAGGAGGAACGGGTTTCTCATCTTGGTTCCAAAGTTTTCCATTTGCTGCATTTCCATTTCAGCATCCTGCTGAAGGACAGTCAATCTCCATCAAGTTTTAATAGCGCCATCTCCCTACTCAGATTCCCAGTGAATGGCAACAGGTACCTTTGCAGTCAATCTCCCAACTTCAGCCTACACACACCCCAGAGATGTTTCCTGATATCAGTCCTGGTTGCAGCTCCCTGCCCTTCAGCCATATTTGCCTTGTCCTAGAACAGTATTCAGTACTTGTCCAGCGCTGGTCTAAGATACCCAGTCTTGCCACCATCCAATGGTTCTGAATCCCAGTCTCCAGGAGGGCCTCCCTCCAAGTTGATACCTGCCTTGAATACTTTCCTTCAATCTTGGGAATTCTGAGTTCTCTCTATTCCTTTAGAGACAATCCCATTACATATAGTCTCTGTCACATCTATTAGTCTCTGCAACTGTAGAATAAAAGCATGGTGATATGGAAATGAATGAGGTCATTTGGTTTGGCCTATAGTGGTCTGAATTTGGTCCATGGGAAATAGCTTACCAACCCCTACTTTATGTTAAACTTATCCTGTTCACATTTCTGTGCGGTGTCTGTCTCC